ATAGGTGGCGCTGTCTCCCTGTACCTAACGGTCTTCCACCAGCGACTTCCTTTCTGCTGTACTTTTTGACTTGTTTTGCGACTCTTACCAATCTTTTTTTTTTTAACTTTTAATTGTGAATTGGGTGGAGGCTTACAAAGCAAATCAGTTTTCCATTCAACAACTCACACGCCTTTTGTTTCCTCTCATTAACTGCAATTCCCAACGGGACATCACTTACCCTACTTCCTCCCTGGGTTTCCGGTTTTCATTTTTCCTCCCTTCCTAACCCTTCTGAACTTAATCCTTGGGTAAATGCTGCCCTGTTGATCTCAAATGGTTGACTGTTCTAAGGTGTCGCTACCTTCCTAGTGTTACTGTTTTTTTATGTTGTTGTTAGATGCTGTTGAGTCAGAATGAAATAAAAGTAGTGTCGGGTGAGTTCCGTTTCAGACCTGAAGGGTAATGAGAACCATAGTCTTGCCTGTCTTTCTGCATTTGCCTTGGTAGCTCAGCAGTCTCACCGCTTCCTCACACTGTCCTTCCCATCAAGCGACTTTTTTCACCTTTGTATTTTTAAAATGTCTTTATCTGAATACTATTTTACTTTTGGTGACGGTTTACAGCACACTACCGTGTCATCTTTGTTTTAAAATCATTGTTGACCACTTGGTCTCATGTTGTTGGTAAGTGCTGACGAGTTGGTTCTGACTTACAGCGACCCTGTATAGCAGGCGTGGGTAATGTCCCGCCCGTATAAGGCTGAGAAATCATTTGGTTTGGCCCTGCTAAGGCAACCACAGGTGGGACTCGAAATTCAATAAATCTAGCTTTTTTCATAGCAACATAAATTTGTAGTGACATTATAAAGATGCAAATGACCCTTGGCAGAGAAAGGGTTCCTGTCCCCTGCTGTACAGAGTTTCCAAAGAGCATCTGATGTGTTTGAACCACCGACCTCATGGTTTAAACCAACCTTTCAGTCCAGTGCTTATCCTGCAGCACCACACCAGGTCTCACAGAGATGACTTTTTACAGGAGCGCAGTATGCATGGATGTAGTCTTGAGTTTGCGTGCCAATCTGTTATTTAGCTAAAGTGATTTCAGGGCTTAGGGCCTAGTTCTGGTTCAAGATTTAAAGGGGATCTCAGGTCAACAACCTCAGAAAGTCTTTCAGTGTCGGTAGGTCCTGTAAGTTTGTCTTGCTTTTTAGGGATCTGAGGTTCGGTTCCACATTTCTCCCACTCAGGATCTGTCTAGCGTGACCCTGACTTTCTGTAGGTAGTAGTCGCTGGGTAGAGGAGGCTGCTGTCTGTGGAGACTATCTGTCCTGTAGACCAGTTTCTCCCAGTATTTGGTTTCCTTAATTTGACTGGCATGTGGTAGTAATATTGTTCGATGACTTCCGCATTCTGGTGGGCCACGTTTCTTTGGAATGGGCACAAATATGGATCCTTTCCCATTGTTTGGCCAGGTAGCTGCCTTCCAAATGTCTTGGCACAGACAAGTGAGAGCCTCCGGTGCTCCATGAGTTTGTTGAAACATTTCAGTTTGTATTCTGTCGATTTCTGGAGTCTTGATTTTAGCAAAAGCTTTCAGTGCAGGACTGGGCTTCGGCCAGACGCACCATTAGTTCCTGATCATATGTTACCACTTGAAATGGCTGAGTATTGATCAATTTTTTTTCCCCCTTGAAGGTGGGGGGCGGGATACAATAATTCTGTGTACTCTTCCATCTTTTTTTTTTTTTTTGCCATTCTGCAGGATAAAAGTTTCTACTTCACAAATCCCTTATCGAATGTTAATAAATTTTATTTAAGGAACTTGACATGTTGTCTTTGATTCAAAGTCACATCAACCTAGGTTATCTTAGTTCCTCCAATGTTTATATTAGGTATTCATCTTCAAGATGGCCCTTTTGTAAAAAGCCCACCGCGATGCTTGGATTTCCAGACACCTTCATCACATCTGTCACTGAGGATCCCACCAAATCTTGAAGACAATTTTCTTTTAGTTGTGTGGTTTTAGCCTCCAATTAGACAGAGACAAACTGAAGAATATACTTCAAAAATTCTGTACCTGGAATTTTTTCAAATTATGTTCTGAGAGACCCTCTATGTTGAGTTGCAATCCCATTCACTACCAAGAAAAGTGCAGTTCATACATCTGTCAATACCTCAGGGCACAACAATTTAACTACTACAGCTTTCATACTGTTTTGTAGTTTCCTCTCATAAATCCAACCAATAGTTCTATGGGCAGAACAAAACCACAGAGTTACTCTATGAGGCATTTCCAACAATGCGGGTCTACCGGAAAGGCCCCATAAGGGTAAGATCTCAACTCTATCTTCTTCTTCTTTTTTTTTAAGGTTTTTATTGTGGATTGAGTGAAAGTTTACAGGGCAGATCATCAGTTTCACATTCAACTGATGATGTATGGAGGGGATTATAATCAATGTAATGAAACAAGTCATATGAACGGTTGAATGTGAAACTCTATCTTCTTTTGATGATGCCTTCATCAGTCAATATTTTTGCCCATAGAATCCTTCCAAATTGAAAGTCAAGGCTTGAATTTTTTCTTCAGTTCTTTTAGCTTGAGAAATGCTAATAAGCACGTTCTTCCCTTTTGGTTTTCTAACTCCAGGTGGTTGGCACATTTCATTGTAATACGTGACTTTGTCTTCCCGAGCTGTCCTTTGGAATTTTCTGTTCTACCTGCTTGCTTCCCTTAGTTTTTCCAGTACTCAAGAGCATAGAGTCTTTTCTAACATCCATCCTTTCCTGTCTTCTGAATTAATGACCTTTGTGTTTTCTATATGTGTGATGTTCTTGTCGTCATTCTACAACTCTTCCAGCCTTTGGTCATTAGTGTTTAGTGATACATCAAATCTGTTCTTGAGATGACCTCTAAATTCTGGTGGGATGTACTCAAGGTCATAGTTTGGATCTCGTGGACTTGGTTTCATTTTCTCCAGCTGGTCTGTTCCATAGTCAGCCCCTGGCCTTGCTTGACTGATGATAATGGAGCTTCTTCAGCTTCTCTTCCCACAGATGTAGTCAGTTTGATTCCTTTGTATTCCATCTGGTGAGGTCCAGTATTATGTTGTTGAAGAAGTGTTTTCAATGAAGAAGTCATTGATCTTGCAAAAAATTCTACCATGTGTTCTCCAACACCATCTCTATTGCCTGTTTTCCAACTATGGATCCCAACGAACAACTCTTTTGTTTCCAACTACAGTATTTCAATCGCCAGTAATTATCAATGCATCTCGATTGCATGTTTGATGAACTTCAGACAGAAGTTGGCAGAATTCTTCAACTTCATCATCACTGGCTTTAGTGGCTGGTATGTAAAATTTTTTTGAGTCCTGGTGTGGCACTGTAGGATAAGCACTGGACTGGACTGCTAACCATACAGTCGGTGGTTCAAACCCACTGGCTGTTCTTTGGGAACTCTTCTGCTAGGAGTCAAAATCTACTTAACAGCACGTAACCACTTTTTGATGAGTCTGATGCCATTCCTTTTCAATCTGTCATTCCCAGCATAGTAAGCCCTATGACTGTCCCATTCAAAATGGCCCAAACGAGTCCATTTCCGCTAATACTGACGCTCAGGATAGCAATCTTTATGCGCTGCATCTCATTTTTAACGTCCAATATTCCTAGATTCCTACTTTGTACATTCCACGTTCCGATTATGAATGGGCCTTTGCAGTTGTTTCTTTCCATTTTGAGCTGTGCCACATTAGCCCGTACAAGTCTCAAAGGTTTTGCTCCATTCGTGTCATCACGGTCAACTCTTCTTTGAGGAGGCAGCTCTTCCCCAGTCCTATTTTGAGTGCCTTCCAACCTTAGGAGTTCGGCTCTCGGCTCTGCATCAGATAATGTCCGGCTGCTAGCTATAACATGTCCCCTGCCTCCCTTCTTCCTCGTCTGTCTTAGTCTGGAAGCTCACTTGCAACCTGTTCACCATGGATGACTCTGCAGGTATTTCAAATACCAGTAAAACAGCTTCCAGCATCAAAGCAATCTACAAGCCACCACAGGATGAAAAACTGATGACAGGCGAGTGGTGGAGTCAAACAAGGGTTTGCTTAGTGAACAATGTTTGCCTTGGGCAATGTCCTTTTTTAAAGACGCAAAAAAATGCCACCAACTTCAACAAACAAATAGCAATTCCAAAGTTCAGGCCAGAAGCTAAGTTTTAGGGTAAATGATCCCAATGGTTCTTCATGACAATGTTGCACGATGAGTTACGTCAATGCTATTTCTGGACCTGTTTCCTTGGCAACATACCATTTACAAGCCTTAAGCCAGAGTAAGGATTTGTGACAGAGTTTTCTCCTCTGGAACAGTTTTGATTTTGCCTGACTCGCATACTGTATGTTACATAAACTTTAATCCATTCTGGGAGCTCTGGTAGCGTAGTGGTTACGAATCGGGCTGCGAACCGCAAGGTCAGCAGTTTGAAACTACCAGCTGTTCTGCAGGACAAAGATGAGGCTTTCTGCTCCCGTAAAGGTTTACAGCCTCGGAAACCCTGTACTGGGTTCGTTATGAGTTGGAACCGACTCCACAGCACATCACAACAACAACAATCCATTCTCATTATTTGGCTTAGCATCATTTTTTTTTTTTGCTTGAACAGTAGGGTTGGTCCTGCCTCACTTGGGGCAGTGAGGGACAGAGAGACAGCGCCAGGGCAGACACCCATCTCTCAGGTGATGAACTTGGCTCCATTCAAGTTTTATTAGGTTCCTTCCAGTCTGGGGCTCCCCTCAGCCCCCAGGTTGCAGCCTGGTGTCCTGCTGCTGGCCCCAGCAGTGTCCAGTTTCTCAGAGGGGGAGTGAGTAGGAGGACGAGGGCAGAGGAAGAGGCTGAAGACAGATCATCAGGCCTCCTCAGGGTAGGGGCCCTCCTTGTCTCCGAAGAGCTGGCCCGAGGGCCGCCAGTCAATGTTGCACAAATTCAAGGCTGGGGTACTGGGGCCAGCCCCGCTTGGCCATCCCTTGCTGCCTACATGGCTGCCGTGTGCCCGTTGGCCAGTCGCCCAGTCAGCCGGCTCCGAGGGCCACCTGCGGGGGCTGTCCCGTTCCTCAGCTGGGGACGCTCCTGGGTGGTGTCTTCCTCACTTAAGTCCGACTCCTCCACGTCACTGCGGATATCCTTCTCCATCTGGGAGACAGGGATAGAGGTCAGGCAGTGTAAGAGACTGGGGGCTGGGCTGGGCTGGGGGTTCCTGGGCACTAGCAGTACCTGGCCCTGGCGCATTAAGTGGAAGATCATGCGCAGGATTAGGCATGACCAGAACACATGTAGAAGCTGCAGGAGCACCAGGAGGCCGTTGAAGAAGTAGTAGCCGAAGAAGGGTGCCCATTGGATGATGGACTCGTAGTACGTGGTGTACAGGATCCTGTAGCCGGAGGGATGAAGGGGAGGAGGCCCTGTGGGCTCTCACCCAAACTAAGCTCCAACCCACGGCCAGCCTTCCCTGCTCTAGAACCATCTACGACTCCCTACTACCCCAGGTTGACGCTTCTGCATGCTAGCCAAAGTACCCAAACCTGCCACTGTCAAGTCAGTTTTGGCTCATGGTGACCCACAGGTCACAGAACGCAACTCCTCCATGGGGTTTCCTTGGCTGGGATCTTCACGAAAGCAGATCACCAGATCTTTCTTCCACGGAACCACTGGGTGGGTTCAAACAGCCAACCTTTTGTTTGGGAGATGAGCCCAAGCTGCTTGCAACATGGAGACGCTGCGATTTAGCCCCTGCTGGTTTGCTAACTTAGCAAAACGCTGAAGTGTGTCCACTCATAACCTCTCATACCCATAACCATGAACCCCAAGGACACTGAGAATCCTGATTCCTCTTCAGCACACCCACCACCCTGTTCCTCAGGCCCCATGATCCAGATAGACTGTCCTTAATCCACCCATCTTCCTCAAGAAGCTTTACCACCCTCGTGCTTCCTCACACCCCTCTCCTCTTTGAGGAATGTCACTGTCGACACCAATGTGACCAACCCCGACATTCCCTCACAAAAAGCAAGAAATCAAAAACCAAAGAGCTCTCCCTCCGATGAGTCCCTTGCTTCTCTTTTCTAGAAGCTTCTCCACAGCATCATAGTACCTGCCCGTGGCACCTTCCCTCCCCTGACCCCCGACGAGCCTGGTCTCTGCTACCACCCTTGGCCAGTCTGCCCCCGGGTCTCCGTCCCACCTGTCCCCTTTCTGAGGTTCTCATGTGTGACCTCCACCCACCCCATGGCCACACTGCTGAGCTAACATGTGTAGATTTCTCCTTCTAGAAGAGTCTCGCTTGACCACATCTCCGCTCCAGATAGTCGCCTCAACCACACTTCCAGTCCACCCCCAAGGTCCTCCAATGTGTGGTCTATGCTTACCATCTCTACCCCTTCCTCCCAGCCCCACACCACCAGGCTCCTCTGAGGTACCTCATCCCTTCCCTAGGACCCTTTCCCCCTGTGCCTTCAAGGAACTGGACTCTGGTCTCCTTCCAGACCCAGGGCAGGCCTCTCCGCCTATGCCCTGTCCCCCTACGACCTTGGGCCATGTGTGCCCATGGCTCCCGTGTTAGTATCAATTTCCCGAATCCCAGTCTTCTCCACATCTATTTGTGGGACCAACTCCAACCAAGCTGTGCTCTTGGCTCTCCCTTCCACCTCCGCTAAGAGCAGCTCCATTTCCCCAAACCCTCCTCGGAATGCATTCTTCTACAGCCATATGGACTACGGCCACCAGAGGGCACTAGTGAGCACCTGGGTCCGGGCTCCTCCCTCCTCCGCTCACCGCCCTCCAGGGCTCCCACCTCCCCACCTTCCACTCGGCGTTCCGGGCCCTCAGTGCTGGTGACCGAACATTCTGGGTCTCAGCAGACTCACTGCGTGGGGAAGAGCACGAGGCGTGTGTAGAGGAAGACGCAGGAGAAGATGAGGAAGGACAGGTCGCATGAGCGCCGCCAGCGCAAATAGTTAAACATTTTACAGGCCTGGGAAAAGCACCAGAAAGGAACAGGCTCAGCAGAACAAAGGGATGTTGTTGTTAACCGATTCTGACTCAGAGACCCCGTATAGGGTTTCCAAGGAGCGGCTGGTGGGTTTGAACCTCCAGCCTTGTGGTTGACAGTCCCAGTGCTTATCGGACAGTACCACACAAGGGTTGAGGGGACCTCCTTTCATATGAAAAAGTGATGGGGGGTGGGGTCACGTGAAGGTGGAGGAGAGGGGCTTTTCTTTAGGACCTGGTCATAAAAGTAAGAGGGAGATTCTCTGGGGGGTGGGTAGGGAGAAGTGGAGGGGAGAGGGGCAGGGCATGATGTCCCAGGGAAGGGGGGGGTGCCTCCCCACCCAGCAAGCAGAGGGGGCGGGGCCTCATCCCAAGGGCTGCTGGGAGACCCAGAGGGAGATGGGGGTGGGGTGGCAGGTGGCAATGGCCCACCTCTAGCAGGGGGTCAGCAGTGTCGTGCAGCAGCAACACTAGGGAGCCGATGCGCAGCAGGTTGGCGCTGTAGGAGAAGATGACCAGGAAGATAGTCACGAAGTGGTGGGTCACCTGCTCCTTGAAGTCCTGCGGGAGACGGCAGCCAGTCAGGTGCAAACCAGAACTCAGCCACAAAAGGTGCCCCTGGATTGTGCAAGCACTCCCGCCTGAGCCCCCAGGGGGGCCTGGGGGTGGGGTGAGGTTGTAAGGCACTCCCCCCCCCAAGCTCCTTGTCACACCCCCAACTGGGCCCTCCCACGTCTCACTTTACGCCTGATGTCCATGCGCAGCCTTATCAGCAGTGAGAGGTAGAAACTCAACTCCAGAAGGTACCACCAGTACAGACGCATGTTCAGAGGCTGTGCGGGGCAAGGTTAGTTAGCTGTGGGGAGGGCCCAGCAACTCCCCCTCTCCCCCTAAACTCTGGACCCTCAGAGCCTGTGGAGTGAGAAGGGGTGAGTGCCTCATTCCTGGAGGTAATCAAAGGCAGTGGTTTTGTGTTCAAGCTCCCAGCCTCACTCCATCCCACAGGGGAGCCAAGCTCAGGCCAAGAGCATAACGGGAGAGATTTCTGGGGGGGCTGCCAAGCTACAACTCCCCTGGAACTATGACTGTCTGGCCCCCACATGCCCCTCGTGCCTACCTGATTTGGATAACTGTCCCAGCACATTGCGGGCTTCCACAACCATGGCTCCTGTGAGAAACTGAGTCTGAGGCTGCAGCTCGGCGCTCAGCCACCCCTCCCCTCAGCAGGTGCCTACTTGGTTACACATCTGACCCCCACTTTAGCCCAGAGGCTCACTGGCTGCAGGGTCCCCAACTCCTCTGACACACAGGTTCTCAGGTGCCTGGGCATGGCTGGTCACTACCGCCTGGAGGCGCTCTTTCCCCACCCGCCCCAGCCCTCCTCGGCACACAGTAGGTGCTTGTGGAGGATATGTGGAGTGGGTGGGCGAACAGCTGGACACACTCACATTGTATAGCACCGAGAGACCACCCACAACGGTGCACAGATAGAACAAGAACCGCCAGCTGCAGATGAGAGAACCCATAAAGCAGATGTCAGAAGGGAAGACCCTACGCCAGGCCTCCCCCCAAGCCCCCGGCCCAGTCTGACCTGGCTTCACAGAACTTCTTGCTCAGGTGGGGTCGATCCTGGTTCAACCGGCGCCGGAACCAGCATTGGGTCTGTCGCAAGGTGAGGCCACACTGGGTGGCCAGGAGGGCCAGCTCGGGCTGGGAAGGGAGAGGTGGCCCCCAGGGTCACAGGGCTCCAGGGTGGCTTCTCAACCCTGCCCCATGACAGACAGACCTTCCACTTATGGGGATGGGCAGTGGGGTCCCAGGGTGGGGGTCTTATCCTCTCCCCTTCTGTACTCAGGGCAGCCCGAGTGCTGGGAGGAGGGTCCCACAAGGCGTTTCTTCAGGTCTCGGAAAACTCAGAGTCCTCTCACCTCCCAGGGTAGATCTGGGATGGATGGAGGAGGAACAAGGCTTCTCCTGGTTCCCCACCGGCCTCAGGACCCAACCACACCCACAACTGGGAATGGAAGGACAAAACAGGACATAAAGCCGCCTAACCCCAGTCTCTGGGGCTCTCCCCGACTCCAGGACAGCCGGGCGGCTCTCACCTCCTTAGGTCTCCGCTGTTTTGTGAGGAAGTATTTCTCCAGCGTGGAGTTGGGTGTCGCCGGCCTGCGAATTCGGTCCTGCACACCCAGCCACCGGCTCAGGGGCAGTCCCACAAACCTGGGGCAGGGGGACAGATATCAGGGATAGGATGAACATGCTACACGCAGGCAAACAGGCTCAGAGGGGCCCCGCCATCGGTCAGCGGGTGGGCAGAAGGAGAGTGGAAGGTTTGGGAGCTTTTCCATCTGTGTAAAGGGTTACGGGGCCTGAGGGGCAGGGGTTAGGACAAGCTTCCTACGCTCATCCCAGCTTCACACCCTGGGATCCTGGGGAAGGCCTGAGAAAGTGGGAGCTTGTGGCTACAACAGCTCAAACACAAAGTCGGCAAGGGACCCTGTGTGTGTTAGAGTAGAACCGCACTGTATTAGGGTTTGCAATGGCTGCTTTTTCAGAAAATTGCCAGACCTTTCTTCTGATGCGCCTCTTGGGTAGACCTGAATCTCTGGGCTTTCGATTAGGATCAAGTGCCTTCACTTGGAGGGGCTCTGAGAGCCATGTAGGTCACAGAGCAGCCAAGACCCGATACTACAGCATCCGGGCCCCACGAGAAAGGACAAAGTAGGATCTTACATGGTGTGTGAAGCCACATAAAAGAACCCTGGTGGCCCAGTGGGTAAAGTGCTTAGTTGGCAACCAGCTGCTTCAGAGGAGAAAGATGTGGAAGTCTGCTTCTTTAGAGATTGTGTTGTTGTTGTTGTAAGTGCCGTCGAGTTGGTTCCAACTCATAGCAACCCCATGTAGGATTACTGAGGAGCGGCTGGTGAGTTTGAACCGCCGAACTTGCAGTTCAAACTGATCGCTGTTGATGCTACACTGCGACACACAGGGAACCCTATGGGGCAGTGCTACTGTGTCCGACAGGGGTCGCTATGAATTGGCATCGACTCAGTGGTTGGTACCCAACAATAATACATAGCTTCAAGGGATTCAGAATGGGGTGTGAGGACCAATTCATGGGGTACCCTGGCACCTTCACTGATTCCAAACCAGGGGCAAGGACCCCGTGACTGTTTGACCCATGGGGGTCCTCCACTGGGCTCGGAGCTCCCCAGGGGCAAGGCTAGGGTATGATCTCTATCAGGAATGCCCAGCACAGCCCACTCCAGACTGGGCACTCTGAGTGAGTGCTCTTGTCAATCATCACACTGACCACCAGGGGGCACCTGAGGCCACAGGACAGGACTGAACTACATACACATCACCTTCACCATAGATTGTGTGGTACTGTGGAATCAGTACTGGATTGCTAAACACAAGTGTTGGCGGTTCAAACCCTCCAGTTGCTTCTCAGAGATCTTATACAGGGTGGCTATGAATGTGAACCTACTCAGGGCACTTAACACAAATGACAACCATGGTGTGAGGAAACTGAGGCCTCGAGCAGCCCATCATGTGACTCACTCCAGAGTTCAGCAAATTTTGGGGCCAGGTGGGGAACTGGTGTTTATTGAGAGTTTACTATCTACTTGGTGTTGGGCCCAGTGAGGATTATGGGCCAATAAAGTCCATTTGCTCTTTAACACTATTAGACTATCCCCATTGTCCTGATCTTTTGAAAGTGTTGCAGAGCAAAGACGTCAGCTGAGGACTAAGGTGTGCCTGACCCAAGCCATGGTATTTTCAATAACCTCATATGCATGTGAAAGCCGGACAGTGAATAAAGAAGACCGTAGAAGAATTGATGCTTTTGAGTTATGGTGTTGGAGGAGAATATTGAAGGTGCCATGGACTGCCAAAAGAACCAATATATCCCAGTTTGGAAGAAATGCAGCCAGAGTGCTCCTTGGAGGCCAAGATGGCCAATCTTCGTCTCTCATACTTTGGACATGTTGTCAGGAGGGACCAGTCGCTAGAAAAGGATATCATGTTTGGTAAGGTGGAGGGTCAGAGAAAAAGAGGGAGACCCCCAGCGAGATGGATTGGCAAAGTGGCAGCATCAATGGGCTCAAGCATGGCAACAATGGTGAGGTTGGTCCAGGATCGGGCAGTGTTTCGTTCTGCTGTGCATAGAGTCGCTATGAGTCAGTACTGACTCGATGGTACCTAACAACAACAACATTGTCCTGATGGGAAAACTTAGGCTTAGAGGAGTCCAGAGCCATGTCCAAAGTTACACAGTGAATGGATACAAGTCAACCCCCCATTTCCTCTGAGAAGCAAACATCAACAACCCCATGGAACTCAGTTTTACTCTGACACACAGGGACACCATGAGTGGGAGTTAACTTGACAGAAAATGGTATGAGACCCTCTCGGGGTCCCTTGGCTGTCCCAGGTGGCCCTACTATTCAGTGCTGGGTTGAAGTCTGGGCTCCAGTGCCACCTCGTCCAGGAAGCCTGCCAGGCCCTCTCCCAGGCAGAGCCCTCCATCCGCTCGGGACCCCCACCCTGGGTCCCCCTCTCTTTGCCCCCAGGGGTCTGGGATGCTGTGCAGCTTGCTGTCTCTCCCACTTGGAGGGGGGGCTTCCTGAGGTCTGGCTCCAGCCTCCCCTAGTGCAGGCTGGGTACATGGGAACTGTTCTGAAGTTGTGCACCTCTGAGCACATGGGAGTAAATGGTTTGCAGCAGCTTGTGCATTTTTATTTTTACCGTTTCGTGACCTGTGGGACATATAATGCCCATTTATGTTTTCCTCCTCTGGAGTTTAGTGGGCAGTTCATTTCCCTTTTAACAATACAACCCCAGACAGCTTTCCCCTGCCAATGCCTGTAGCAGGCACCAGGAAAGCCCCTCAAAGGGGCAACAGCCCCATTTCACTGAAACCTTCCATCAGTAAAATAGATAAAACACAACCCCCACCCCACCTAGCTCCAGTGAAGAACCTGAACACAGCCCCATTCCTACAGGAAGGCAGGGACCTCATCGTAAGGTGGGGTGGGGAACCTTTTTTCTGCCAAGATTTACCACATCATTCAAATACAAAATTACCAACTTAAAAATTAACCGGCTATACTTGGTCAAACATTAAATTTAACGCACCCCTAATGTGATGGCTGGAACTGTGGTTGACTTGGCAGGGCCAGACCAAATGATTTTGTGGGCTTTATATTTATATGGCCCATGGGCAGAATGTTCCCCACCCCTACTCTGAGGCCTGGTGGAATTTAGCCTCCCTGAGTCCCACAGGCAAAACTTTGGACCCAGGTCACCGACTTGCTGTGTGGCCTTGGGCTGGCCACGTGCCCTCTCTGTGCCTTAGTTCACGCTTCTGTGAAGTAAGCACAGTAACAGACTCCCTCTGAGATTTCAGAGGGCTCGTGGTGTGATGCTGTGGCTTAATGTGCTAGACTGGAAATCTGGTTTGAACCATAAGATGAGCAGTTCAAACTCACCAGCTGCTCCTTGGCAACTCTACATAGGGTCACTGTGGGTTGGAATCGACTCAACAACCCTTAATTAGAAGTGAGTTAACCTTCCCAAGTCCCAATTGTTTTCTGCTTTGACTTTTTTGTTGAAATCATAGTTTTTTCCAGTAAGGAAAAGGTATTTTAAATGATATGGAAAATACATTTTTTGAGGTAAATGGATTTTGATTAAGTTAATAGGATATAAATGAAGGGAGTCCTGGTGTGGTGCTATAGGATAAGCACTGGACTGCTAACCACAAAGTCGATGGTTCAAACCCTCCAGCTACTTGTCGGAAACTGGACGGGTTGCTAGTTTTAGAATCGACTCAATAGCACTTAACAACAGCAATAACATATTAGGGGGCTTCTAAAAGTTCGTGGAAAAAAAATCCATGATCTCTCAATTGCATTTTTCTAAAAAACGTTTGGAAGCCCCCTGGAACATGAGGTGTGTCTGTCTGATGCTGCAGTTGGGTGGGACGAGGCCTGGTTCTTCAGATTCCCGCAATTACACAGGCTTCCACAAGATGGCAGCACACACTAAGCGTGGGATAGGATGGCAGCTGCCCGCTAAGCCCTAGAGGGAAAGGTAGATAGGATAGGTGCCATTGAGTTTGTACCGACCCATAGAGGCCTTATGCACAGCAGAACGAAACGCTGCCCAATCCAAGGCCAACCTCACTGCTGTTGCCACACTTGAGTCCATCGATGCTGCCACTTGGCCAATAGGTGGGCATTATATGTCCCACAGGTCACGAAAAGGTAAAAATGCACAAGCTGCTGCAAACCATTTACTCCCATGTGCTCAGAGGTGCACAGCTTCCGGAAAGTTCCTGGTGTGTCCAGTTTGTACTGGGGGAGGTTGGAGCCAGACCTCAGGAAGTTCCCGCTGAGTAGGCAAGAAAGCAAGATGCACAGTACCCCAGATCCCTGGGGGGCAGGGTGGGGAGTGAGTACTCAACATCGGGGCCCAGAGGGAATGGAGGGCTCTGTCCGGGAGTAGGCACGGCAGGCTTCCTGGAAGAGGAGGCACTGGAGCCCAGACTTCAACCCAGCACTGGTCACTGTGGCCATGGGCAATAGTAGGACCACCTGGGACAGCCAAGGGACCTAAAGAGGGACTCACACTAATTGCTGTCAAGTTAACTCCCAGGACTGCCGAGGGATGCTTTTAATAACTGGCAGAAGGAGGAAGAAATTCCACCCAGGGAGTGAGGAGAAACCACAAGAAAACACGGAAACCTCAGAGGGTTTGGCTGCGAGCAGGTCACTGGGAACCTGGAGTCCCCAACGGGTTCAAACGACTGAGGGCACAGCTACTGAAGGAAAGGCTGGCCCTGCCAACCTACCCGGAGGCACCTCAGAGGAAAGGTCTGGTGATCTGCTTCCAAAAGGTCACAACTTTGAAAACCCTAGGGAGGCAGTTCAACTCTGCACACATGAGGTGGCCATGAGTCAGAGCCCATGGGAAATGTTTACATTGTTTTGGGGGTGGGGGGGAGGAATCAGCAGGGCAGTCTAGTTAGAGGATGACAAGAGGCTGCCTGGAGTGGGAATAATGGCAGAGGTATGGGAGGGGGAGGTGGGGGGGTGCTTTCCTCTGCTTACAAAGGGGAGGGAGAAGGGCAGATGTGACAAGGAGCCAGGAGGGAGGGTGGTGGGGAGAGGGTGGGGCTGCCCCCCAGGGGATGGCCATAGGAGGGTTCCTCGCTTTATGAGCTCAGCAGGCTGGCAAGCTTCCACCTTCCAGGGCCCCCACCCAGTTTATAAAACGCAGCCAGCCTCCTACATACCAATAGTCAGGGATGTGCAGAGGGCCTGGGGGCTGGGCTCTGGGGTGCTGCACTTTGTTCCAAAACCAAGCTCCGCAGAAAGCACTTAGTGACCGGCGGTCACATGTCCATGGGGAGGGCAACTCACTTTTCGAAGGCCATGCGCAAGGCCAGCAGGACCAACGCCAGGGGCACGGCAGCCAGCAGGTCCCGAGGGTGGGGATAGACCACGCCATTTCTATCCTCCAGGTCTGCCCACGAGGCGTTGGGTGGCAGCCAAAACTTTTCCTGCCATAGCCACTCGTTCAGGCTGGACAACATCCTGTGGACACATGTTCCAGTTCAGGGGGAGGGCTGTGCACACAGAAGGTGCTAGAGGGGGACCCTGGGAGCTAGGAACTCTCTCCCACCCATCAACTCCCAGAATGAAGGCTGGCTGGTCATGGGCCCCTTGCCTGGCCACTTTCTCTCCCTTCGCTCTGGCCTTGGTCACCATCCCATCTACCCCTGTACCCTGGTGCCTAGCAAGGGGTCCCAGAAAAGATTCTCTAAGAGCCAATATATTAAGGACCAGAGGCTGTGTGCCCTCAGGCAAATGCCGGGACCTCCCTGAACCTCAAGCTCATTTGAAAAACAGGGTTAGTATTATCCATTCGTCAGTGGAGATTTTGTGTGCTGCAGGTTAATGTGCTGGACCACAAGGTCGGTTTGAACCGCAGGGTGGATGGTTCAAGCTCCTTGGAAACGCATAGAGGGTCTCTATGAGTCGGGACCGACTCCACGGCACTTAACAACAACAACAACAAGATGATGAACAGGTTTCAGCCAAGCTTCTAGACTGAGATGGGCCAGGAAGACAGGCCTGGCAAATCTAGTTCTGAAAATCAGCCCATGAAAACCTGGTGGTTTACAACGGACCGGTTTACAGTGGTCTGCTTCGCAACCGGTCATGGCAAAGTTTCATTCTGTCGTGCGTGGGGTCGCTGTAAGTTGGGGCTGACTTGATGACAGCTAAAACAATAACAACTGCACACCCCTCAGTCCAGCCTGAGAAAACCATGAAAAGTGCTTCTCTAGCTGGTGTTAACTGACCCTCACCGAGAAGGAGAATGATACAGCCCCTGAGACGGTTAATATTCTCCTGCATTTCGCTGGTTCGAAAACAGGTGGCCAGAAGTCAAGGAATGGCTGAAAAGAATGTGAACATGGGGTCCTTCCTCTGCAGGACACTCCCTCCAATTGCACAAAGATGAAGGATTTAAGACAAGACACAAATCCCTCCTTATGGGCTGTGGACTCCCCTTTAGGGATGAAGGTCTGTGGTTCTTGCTAGCTACGGAGGCTGGCTGGCTGCAGTTGGGTAAGAAAGCCTGGCTCATGGCCAAGCATCAAGAATAGTGAGCTAGAACTCGGCCAACAGCAGCCTGGACAACAGCCTGGAAGAAGGCGCCTGCGTGAGGAGTCAATAGCTTCTCCTTCCCTGTCATCTGGAGCCAAGAGCCCCAAACCCCACACTGGTCCCTTCTGGGACTGTATGTTTGTTTATCCATCTACTCACCCACCCATGCATCCATTTATTCATCCATTCATCTACCCACTTACCCATTCATCCACTCACCCACCTACCCACCCATCCATTCACCCATCCACCCATCTATTCACTCACCCACCTACCCATCCACCCATTCACCCACTCATACACCTACCCACCCATCCACTCACCCACCCACCCATCTATTCACTCACCCACCTACCCACTCATCTGTTCATCCTGTCTATCTACTCACTCATCTACTATCTACCCACCTATCCATCCATCCATCACTCCCATATACCTTTCACTCTATCCATCCATTTATCCCTTAGCCCCCACTCCTCATCCTTTCATCCATCCAGACAAGAGACAGTCCCTGTTGGTTTGTACACCCCAGGTATGAGGTCAGCATCTGAACCTGGAGGGAAAAAAGGAGACACATTCTTGTCCCCAGAGAGCTCACAGCTCAGTGAGGAAGGCAGCCGACAGACACATACACGGATTCATAAAGAAGGAAACAACATGATTCTACATGTGGTGATCACGAAGCAACTCGCCACATGTAGATTCAGAGCTGAGACCTAACGAAGAGGAAGGCTGGGGTTGCTGGAAGAGGGTGAGGGAGGGAAAGGAGGGGCTTTTCAGAGAGGCAGCCAGCGGCTTGTGCAAAGGCCCTGAGGCAGGAATGTGCTGTGATTGGCTGTGAATTGGAATGTGCTGTGATTGGCTGGTTGGAGAGTCTAGAGCAAGAAGGGCAGTGATGAGACAGTGTGCTGCCTTGGTGAGTCACAGGGAGATTTCCCCAATGTCTCATCATGACAAATTTCAGGCTTAGTATAGGGTTTCCAAGGAGAGGCTGGTGAGTTTGAACCGCCAACCTTGCGGCTCAAACCGATTTTGCAGTCCAGCGCATTAACCCACAGCACCACATCAGGACTCCAACTCATAGTGACCCTGTATAGGGTTTCCAAAGAGCAGCTGGGGGGTTTGAACTGCCGACCTTGTTGTTCACAGTCCAGTGCTGATCCTACAGTGCCACATCAGGAGTCCACACATAGGTGTCGTCCTGGACTTATGACATACTCGAGTTACAATCAACTGTACTTACAACCAACCCTTTTTAAAAAACAACATATTCTATGTTGTTAAGTGCCCCTGAGTTGGAATGTGCTCATAGTGACACCATATAGGGTTTCCGAGGAACAGCTGGTGGGTTTGAACTGCCAACCCTGTAGTTAGCAGCCCAGTGCTTATCCTACAGCACCACACCAAGACTTCAAACAGACAGAGGTGGTAATGGTTGTGTGCTGTGGAGTTGATTCTAACTCATAGTGACCCTGTATAGGGTTTCAGAGGCTGTAACCTTTACAAAAGGAGCTCTGATAGCGTAGTGGTTACGAATCGGGCTGTGAATCTCAAGGTCAGCAGTTCGAAACTACCAGCTGTTCCATGGGAGAAAGATGAGGCTTTCTGCTCTTGTAAAGATTTACAGCCTCGGAAACCCTATACAGGGTCGCTATGAGTCAGAGCTGACTCCACGGCACACAACCACCACCATCACCAAATCTTTATGAGAGTAGAAAGTCTTATCTTTCTCCCTCGGAGCAGCTGGTAGATTTGAACTGCTGACCTTGTAATTAGCAGCCCAATTTGTAACCACTACGCTACCAGGGTTCCCATACAATACTGTGTAATTTGTTGATGTCATCATATCTGTTCATTTGTATGCAATGTTCCCAATTCCCTAAGACAAAGATGGGATTTATAAAGACATTCTCTTACTCAGCACCAGTTTCGATAGAATTGACCGGAGTCTGAGGAACAGAACCTGCAAACTACCTGTATCTACCACTGGACTGTACCGTTCATATTTTGCTCTTTGCTTTCTTTGTTACACTGTGGGGAAATGAGTCCCTTTACTGGCCCGTGGGGTTTTGCCTTGGTTCTTTTGGAAAAACAGCTGGAAAGATTTCTACCCCAGAGGGTGTGTTATTTTTGTCCAGGTAGTTGGTACTTCCTGGGTAAATGATCAGGACTTGGTTTTGACACTTTCTGTTTGGTGTTAGGCTGCAACCTGTCCTGTGATTAGTATGCGCTTTGCAGGGATTGGCTAGTAGACAATGCAAATGAGGTGAGTTGTAGTTCTATTTGTGCCTGCTATGCAAATGAAGTGTCATGAAGTGCCAGTGCCACTGGTCAGTTTGTGGGGCCCCTGCTGGGAGAACAGAGTCTTGAAATTGACAATCCTGTAGTGTGTGTGTGTGTGTGTGTGTGTGTGTGTGTGTGTGTGTGTGAAGTCAGCTCCACAGAGGTTGGAAGCAGCAGGCAGAAAGAGAGAGAAAGAAAGGCAAGAAACCTTCTAAACGAGCTGTCCATGGATCAAGGGTTCTAACACCAAAGACAGCGAGAGGTCCAGAAGGGCCCAGTGACAGAGCAGGCATTTTACAAACACATCCATCCATCTACCCATCTTTCTATCTATTCATCAGCCCAACTCTGCCCCCACACCTCCACCTCTGGAGGTATTTCAAAGTAAATGTCAGATATCAAACACACAAAACCTTAAACATTTGAGCATACTGATCATTAACTAGGGTTCAATATTTGCTTGTTTTGTTCCTTTTGAAATAAAATGTGCCACAGTTAAATACCCTCGTGTAACCCAATCTTATCAACAAACACACCATCTCCACTAAATTCCCTCAAGTCCAGTCTGGGTCAAGTCCCCACCTCCGTCTGTCCAAAGGTGATGAAGATAACAAACAACCTCTGTTCTGTTATTTTTTTTTTCTCATCATAGATTTATTTTCCTTCTTCCAAACCACTTGCAAAAGATTTCTTTTTAAAAGCAAAGATGCCATCGTGGGAACTAAGGTGGGCCTGATCCAAGCCATGGTATTTTCAATCGCTTTATAAGCATGTGAAAGTTAGATAATGAATAAGGACAATAGGAGAAATGATGTCTTTGAACTATGGTGTTCGTGAAGAGTATGAAATATACCATGTGCGCCAGACTGCAAAGCCGTTTGAATTGCAAAGTCAGTGGTTCAAGCTCACCAGCTGCTCCTCGGAAACCCTATACAGGGTCGCTATGGGGTGGAATCAACAAAACAGAACCCACAGATCTGTGTTGGAAGAAGTGCAGCCAGACTGCTCCTTGGAGACCAGGATGGCCAAACTTCGTCTCTCATACTTCAGACATATTGTCAGGAGGGACCAGTCACTGGAGAAGGAGATCATGTTTGGTAAGGTGGAGGGTCAGAGAAAAAGAGGAAGACCCCCAGCAAGATGGATTGGCCAAGTGGCAGCATCAGTGGACTCAAAGCATGGTAACCATTGTGAGGTTGGCTCAGGATTGGGCAGTGTTTTGTTCTGTCATGCATAGGGTCACTATGAGTCAGTACTGACTCGATGGCACCTAACAACAACAACAACAAACACCTTAAACAACAAACCAGTTGCCCCTGAGCTGACTCCAATTCACGGCACCCCCTCGGATGTCAGAGCAGAACTGTATTCCAGAGGGTTTGCAATGGCTGATCTTTCAGAAGTAGATCTCCAGGGCCTTCCTTCGGCGATGCCTCTGGGGGTACACCTTCAACCTTTTGGTTAGCAGGCAAGCATGTTAATCATCTTACCATCCAGAGACTCCAATTGGCTCTCAAACTTCATATGAATGCAAACATACACTGTGTCGTGGTGTCTGACATCGTTCACGCCACATGGTTTTGCGATTTGTTCATGTGGCTGCATTTTTCAGTAGCTAGCCTGCTGCTGCTTTTTAAAT